AATTTATATTTTACGAATTATTTTTTTTATATTTTTATTAAGTGCGCGTTGATGAGAAGAATGAACACTCCAAATTTCAAGTGATTTGGATTTGTAGAAAAAAAAATTAAAATTAAAATACGAAATGAGGTCGTGACCGTCAAATCGGCTCAAATTCAATCTGGGCCATGTAACAGACCGCCCGTGGGCGTATGGAATCCACTCCTGGTAATGTTTCTTTCGCATATATTTGAGCATTAAACCATTTCTGGACGTGATCAAGTTTGGGCTTTATCTACTATGACAATAGATTCAGGAAGACCAAAAAAGTTGAAACTGCAATCAATCTTGTAAATATTTGCAATCTGCTAATCTCAGTATACAAGCCTTTTGGTCAAACCTTGTTAAAGAATCTGTAACTTATGATCCTGATGGAAAATCTATAGTGAATACACCTCTTCCCCAGTGCATGTAGTGAGTACTACAAGTGTCGTTTACTTATTATGATGTTTCATCTTTTAGTGCTATTCTACTTGTAACTTTTGGTCTTATGGTATATGTCAATATAGAGGATGATACCAAGGAACTCTGTTTGTTTATAAATGGGTAATATCAGTTTAAATGGGTAATATCAGGAATAGCTATTTATGACGCTATGCAATCTGTACTGCCAGAGGTACATACGATATGCTTGGGATCACCCGCTTCAATGGGATCTTTTGTCTTGGTCGGAGGAGAAATTACCAAAAGTCTAGCCTCTGATAGGCCTGAAACCTTTTTCCTTTTTTCCTTTTTTCCTTTTTTCCTTTTTTTGTTTTCTTTTATCACTAGCTTTAAACTAATCATTTTGTTAGCTCTTTCTAAGTGCTTCTTCCTCTTCTCCTGTTCTGTATGTTTCCAGATTATTAGGGGCCAGTAATATACTTGTACTTTCATGTGTGTACAAAAATCTGATTCTTCTTTAATTCTTCTTCAACATTGCTCTTGATTCAACAGCTCTTTGTGGTGATGTGGAATAAATGGATTATTTCTTTGTGTCTCCTAATCAATGTGATTGAAGACATGGTTAAAGAAACTTCTTC